ATTAAATAATAAAAATAATGTCAATACTAATAATAGAGCATTAGTATCATTACAAAATGGTACAAGGAAATCAACCCGTTCACGCACAGCTGGGTGGAGTGTGAACGGGTATGAGCTTCGTGGAAACAAATCAGACGGTCACGGAAGCACGGTGCCAAGTGTGCCCCTGCTGTGACCATCACTCTGCGCCAGGAATTTACCCGGGACACCATCACAGGTGTGCGAGACTGAGCTGAGGACTCCGAAAGCTATAATCTTCATGCACACTGATGAAGAACTGGAAACAAAGCTGCTCTCCCCATGCACACTGATGAACTGGAAGCCACCTCGGTGCCCACCTGTGTGGGCTCTGTGACACCAGCCAGGGAACCGGGCACAGCCCCTGGTGCGGTCCTTCACACCCCGCAGAAGTGCTGGGTGCTGCTTCACATCCCACTGGACCCTCCAGATTGACTTCTTACCCCGACAACGCTCCCCGTGTCCCCAAAGGGACATCCATGAGCTCCCTCTCCTCCAGCTACTGGCTGGGCTGGCCCCTGGGCTGGTCCCCATTGCTGCTGTGCCTGGGGGTGGGGGAGGGTCTCCAGCCATTGTCGGCTCCCTGGGGCCTACCACGGTCCTGCGATGCAGGTGTCACTTCTGCCACCCGTGACGGAGAGTGCAAAGACAGGGAGCCAAGAGATGCGGCATTTTCGTCCTAGCCAGTCCAGTGTATCCGGTATCAGACGACTGTAAAAGGCACAACGACTTGCATCTTTCTGTGCCAGCTGTTGTTTCAGAGTGCCATTTAAAAAGCATCGAGCTGAGAGGTGAAGAAGGAAAAGGAATCCATTACGAAACACGCTCATAACCGAAAGCGAACACCCCCTGAGAAGTCCAGGTGACGGTGACCCACAGACAGCCTGGGGTCACGGAAGGCGGCAGCAAGGATCCCACACAAGGAGAAACCCCCTCAACTCAATAAAGTAGGGGCCTTACCTGCCTTGTCCCCGCTGTTCCCACAGCACCTAAGGCAGTGTCTGGAGCAAAGCAGACACTTAATAAGCATGTTAAGGAAATGAACAGGTTTAGCCCAAACTAGGAGAAAATTACTGCGAAGCAGAGCTCTCCTGAAGGAAGAGCGTCTAGGATACGGCAAGAGTCCCTACACGTCAGCAAGGAGACAAGCGACCCAACACGGGGCACCTGGAGGGAAACGAGTCCGAGCGAGCCCAGGGCGGACACAGCACCAGGCGCCTGGTGGAAGGAGGAGCGCACTCCCACCGCCGCCCCCGTGCGCTGCCCAAACTCCGAATGCCGAGAAGGAGTCACTTCACATTTTTAGAAGATACAGTAGTCGGCATAGAGACATGCCCAGTAAAAAGGAAGCCTGATACAAAAATAACTGTTTCTTTCAATCCATTAATCTCACCCTGATTGACTCCCTAAAAAATATGGGTAATAATAATTCACACACAAAAAAGAGTGACATACAATTACGTTTTTATTCACAGTCTTTTAAAAAATAGAAACCATTAAGTATTTTGAAAAACACTCGGGGAATAATCACGTAGCAGCCACAGCGTTACAAAAATAAAACAACGCAGAATGGATGGCACAACAGAACACACCCTGTGCTGGCGCCCAGGGTGAGGGCCACAGGGTGCCCGCACCTCCACTGCCCCGCCACCCCTCCTCCCTGGGGTCGGTCCCAGGCCTGCTCCGGGGGGGACCGCTCTGCCCCCACGTGCAAGGTCTACACGTCCGGCGAACGTCTTGAATGTGACTCCATTCTTCCCTTTTCCTCTGCGGAAGACAAGTTCCGTGGCGGAGAGGGACAGCGAGGACCGTGGAACGCCAGGCACGTGACGTGGTCCACCCGGCCCGGCCAGGTCTACACCACGAGGGGGACAAAGACCTGTGTTGCGCCGTACGGCGTCACAGCCACTCGCCGCAGGCGGCTGTTTAAATGACGGGGAAACCAAGCAGGATTAAAACTCCCTTCCCAGCCCCACACGCGGCCAGGCCGGTGGCCGCCCCGCTGGGCGGGCGGAGAGAGAACATCCCTGTCGCCGCAGGAAGCGCTTTTGGACAGCCCCGGCCGTGGGAAGTGCTGCCTCCCCCTCCGCTCAGCCAGGGTGTGGGCTGCGGGGGGGCTGCTTCGAGAAGCACTTCTTCTCCCAGAATACTCCCAGCTTGGCGGCGGAGTCACAGGAGGGGGTAAGGCGGCCTTCTTTACATAGAACGCCCTCCCCTGTGCGTGAAAGGGGTGGCCCTGAGCCGGGGATCGAGGACACCGACGACACTCCTCCAAGCACCTGTCGGGGCAGCTGGAGAAGAGAGAGCGAGGCGGGAGGGGAGCAGCCCGCGGGGGGGGGGGGGAGCCTGCTGCGTCCCAGCCTCCCCGCGGCGCTGACTTCCGGGGCCCTGAGCAGGTGCTCCCCCGGGGTGGGCCCTGTCCTGGCGAGACCCCAGCTCGGTGCTGGCGAGCGTCGGGAGGGAGCCGACTGCATCTCCCCTGCGCACTCTGAGCAGAGCCTCGGGCTTGGCAGGTCCCCGCCAGTTGTCCGCCATCGTGGTCCTTGAGAGCTGACTGCACTTCGCAGCCAGGGCACAGACCACAAGCTGAAAGTGCCTTGCCTGGGGAATCTGTGCATCGCGCAGTGAGTTCAAGTAACTCCAGGGCCAAACGCATGCAACAAAAGGGAGCAGAGAAATGTTCACTTAAACTCACCTCTACGCAGACCGAGAGCGGAGGAAATGACTAGGCCTATTATGTAAAACAGCTGCAATTAGGGAAAACAAGAGGGTTTTGGCTGAGTCCAACAGGACACTTTCTGAGTGCCTAGTAGGTTCACATTCCTGTCCTAAACACAGATCTGCCCCGTGCTCACCCAAAGTCCTATGTGGCAAGACGCTCACGGCTCAGACAGTTAATCAGGTCATTATTCAATATATAACTTCACTTATTTTCGGTAAACAATGAAAGAAATGGAGAACTGAGAATTTATTTCACTGATGTGAACAACAACAACAAAAATCAACACCAGAGACGGACAACTGGGTTTCCCCCGGTGTGGGTGGCACACACGCCCGGCAGTGACCCCTGAGTGACCCCGGAGTTGTAGTGGTTGGTTTAGCGAGCACAGGCACCTCGGGGCAGCTGCAAAACCGAGCCGGAGCCCAGCGCTCCGCAGATGCCTTCTCTGCACCGAATTAGTGCCATTAGCATCCTGGGAGTCCCTGGGTGAGTGGGCACCAGTTAGCAAAAACAAGTGTTTCCCGCTATCTGAACGGTCTACACATTCACGATGTTGGAAACCCGGGCCGTTGAAAACATTTTCACTATTCCACTGATTCTGAAACTGCAGACGAAACTGGAAACATGAAATGTCAGGCTAAAAATGGGGTGCTGCATATCCTTTACTCACCTACTTCCGAGTCCCCGCCCCTGGGAGTGAGGCGCACGTGAACGCGGGCCCCACCCGGCACCCAGGGCGCCTGGTGCACCTGGCGCATGGACTTCTCAGGGTGGGTCTTCCCGGGACAGATTCCGCGGGGTCGCGCCAGCTGGCACCCACCCGGAACCTGCGGCTGGGCCCTAAAACTGAAGCCCAGCCCTCGGAGTCCACCCCAGTGGCCACGTCGGATTTCAGAGGTGCGCACGCGATGTCCTTCCTCTCAGCCGCAGGTGGCAATGTTTGAGGACAACAACGCATTTACCGTGCAACGCACACGTGCACTCACGCATCTGGTTATCACTGGAACGATCGCGGTCGCCCGGATGAGGTTCGGAGTCACTTTAAACAGCTGAAATGTAGAAGCAGTGTTGCGTTAAGAACACTTGAAATAAAATGCTGGTATTCCATAATAATCGAACCATGGCCCGCTTCTCATGATGGAAGAAATTCCACTCAGCTTCGAACGCTGCTGGAGAAGAGTCACTGAAAACCTTTCATTGGGAATAAAACGTAGGATTCTCCCATGATCGGGCTGCACGCGTGTGAGAAGCAGTTATTTTGCGAGTTCCCGACTTTCCGGAGGTTTGGATGCCAAGCTGGCCGTCTTCAGGAAGGCGCCGTGACCCGCGGGACCAGGGTGTGGTTGGGGGGCGGGACTGGGGTGTGGTTGGGGGGCGGGGTCAGGATGTGGTTGGGGGGGCGGGGTCAGGGTGTGGCTGGGGGCGGGGTCAGGGTGTGGTCGGGGCGGGACCAGGGTGTGGTCGGGGGCAGGACCAGGGTGTGGTTGGGGGGCGGGACCAGGGTGTGGTTGGGGGCCGGGTCGGTGTGGTTGAGGGGCGGGACCAGAGTGTGGTTGAGGGGCGGGACCAGGGTGTGGTTGGGGGCGGGCCAGGGTGTGGTTGAGGGGCGGGACCAGAGTGTGGTTGAGGGGCGGGACCAGGGTGTGGTTGGGGGCGGGGCCCGGTGTGGTTGGGGCGGGGCCAGGGTGTGGTTGAGGGGCGGGGCCAGGGTGTGGCTGGGGCGGGGCCAGGGTGTGGCTGGGGCGGGGCCAGGGTGTGGTGGGGGCGGGGCCAGGGTGTGGTTAGGGGCGGAGAGCCTGGAGCTGAGAGCCTGGCGGGGGCGGGGCTTCTGACCACGCGCGGGGACAGGCAGCAAAAACGTGAGATCAAACCTGGTTGTAACGCAGGGACCAGTCTATGTGGGGTTTTGGAAAAACGGTGCCTGGACAAAGGCCCAGGACAAGGCGGGTCACGGACAGGGTCCCACTTTCAAATGCGGAGGCTCACAGAGTTCGGTGCGCTGAGCCCGACTTCCCCGAGTGCGGGGCCGCGGTCCAGGTGCCGTCTGGGTGAATGCCGTCTAAGTAAAGGATGGCAGCAAACCTCTGGCCCTGAATTCGCTGTGTCTCCTGTCCACAAGAGTCGTGGGCCTGACCCCCGGACACCAGCGGCTGCGGGGCAAAAGGGTCTCAACGTCAGGGAGCCAGGCCGGAGGCTGGCATAACTTGCATCCTGGTTACTACTTATCAAGGATGAAGTGCCCGCTGTCCATCCGCCCCATTCACTGCCCGACACGCATCCTGACCACACACCCTGTAACTAAACCCCCGCGCAGGTGCCCGCCGGGCGGAGGAGTGTGGTCCAGAGCGCAGTGTACAAGCAAGCGCCACAGCCGTTCCGGGGTTCCAGGTGGGAGCCCGAGTCACGTCTGGCTAGAGCCCTGATAAGGAGAGGCGTGTGCGTACAGAAACGTGAGAAGTTGTTCGCGACATTACGTTGAAAACAAACCACGTACTTCATTCACGCCAGGTCTATCCCAGCACAGGGAAACAGACAGCACGGGAAGTTATCTGAACGTCTCAGGCCCAAATCTCTCCCCACAGTTACTCACCTCAGCAGGACGGCTTCTTCCTCCCCTCGAATGATCAAAATAATCGTCTTCCCCTTCACTTGTATGTTAATAACTCAGGCAAGATTCAGTATTTTGTTGCTTTTGGCCTCTCAGTGTGGTCCTTCTTTGTGCCTGAAAACGAATCAGTATTTTCAGTGTTACAGGCGAGCCGTGGACAGCCGACTCCGCCCCGCCGTGGCCAGACCCCGATCTTCCCTGTGAGACAGACACAGGTCCACACTGCCCGGTTCAGGTCCAGGAACCCCCAAGCTGTTCTCCAGAAGAGCAACCGCGATCACAGCCGCACAACCGCCACGAACACGCCCCACACCCCACTCTCCCTGGACGCCGAGGCCTGCGCGTGGGTTTGGCCGCTGGGTCCCAGGGGGGCTCCCTGGTCCTGGTGCCGGGTGGACCTCTGTCTCGTCGCGCCCGTCTCCCCATCTGATCCCCTCGCTTATTTAGACCCTGGGTCTTCCCAAGTCTGGCCACAACCGGCGGAACCCAGGGTGGTCGCCGCTTACCGCTGGTGGAAAACTTCCACCTCGGGTCCCCGCGCCTCCCTGCAGGCTCTTGGCTCTGGGCCGTAACGGAGGCTGGGCACTGGGCGCGCTCCGGAGCGCCAGACCACGCGGGCCGAGGAAAAAAGCATCTGTAAGGTGGACGGGTTATTTCCCCAAATTAACATGGTCTGGCCGGCGCTCAGGGAACCCTGGTGAGAAGTCCACCCCTCCCCGCCCTTCCTCCGCAACGGCTCTGGCTGGTGCCCTGGAATGACCGCCTCGCTCCCCCGTCCTCTCTCCCGTGGCCCTGCAACATGCAACCGGCACCTCTTCTAGCCAGCGCTCCTTGGCAACCCCAAAGGAGCCCTCCCGCGGTTCCCGTGCAGCAGCCCCGGCCCCCTGTGGGGTGGGTGGCTCGCACAGGGGTGGGGGTTCAGCGGAGAACAGCATTCCCCATAGAAACGGGGCGGCTGACTCTTCTCCCCCTGGCACCCCCGGTCGCACCACATTTAGCAACCACCGAAGCGCGCCGACAGAGAAGCAGTGTCTGCGATGCTTGACGCGCACCCTGCTTCCTCCTGCCTCCCCCAACCCCACACCCTTTCTCAAGAATGTGGGTATCCAGTCTGACATCCGATCTTGTTTGGAAGGGGCTGGACTGAATTACCTGAAGAGTTTAGTGTTCCGCCCCTTGGGTGCAAGCTAGGATGCAGTTGGACCTGGAGGAAGAGCTGGTAGGTGGCCAAAGGCGTTCGGGCTCCAAAGGCTCAACTCCTCTCTTCTGCGTCTCTCCCCGCCCCAGAGAAGGGAAAGCCGGGGTTCCCTCCCGGGACCACAGCACCACCCCAGCCCAGGGCCCCCGCTGCCCCCGGCACCACAGCGCACACGAGCCCGAGCCTGCGGAGGAGGTGAAAGGAGAGAGCTCGCCCCTCGGCCGACCCTCCCGCGCCGGAACCAACCTGCCCACGCCGCAGCAGCCGCTCGGTGGCCGAGCCCGCACAAAATCGAGGCTGAGACCCGGCTGCGCCCGCGCCGCTCGCTCGGCGCCCTCCCGCCAGCCCCGCACCGTGCGGCTCACACCGCCTGCTCGTGGGAGAAGCCCCAAGGCTCCCCGCGGTGCAGCGAGAGGCGCCCCGGCTGGAGCGCCCCGGCCGTGCTGGCCCCCAAGTTCGTCAGCTGCTTGATGAGCACGAAGAGCAGGAGGAACAGTAAGAAGAGCAGGAAGAAGAAGAGCGCCAGGTAGACCAGGAAGTTGAGCTCCCACTCCATGCCGGAGGCGCGGCGCTCGGCGGCCGTGCGCGCCCCACCAGGTGCAGCGGGCGGGGAGGCGCGCCCGCGCGCCCACCTCCGGGCTCCTCCGGTCCGCCCTCGGCCTCCGCCAGCTGCGGAAAGGGCCCAGGCGCTGGTGCGGTCCCTGCCTGACTCCCGACGCTCTGGCAGCAGGCAGGAGAGCCTCCTCTGTGGAACTCCCGGGCCGGAGGGGACTTCTCTAGGAGCGGACTTGAATGGCTGGGACGGCAGGGAGAGGCCCCGGCTCAGCCTCTCAGGGGGGGTGTCCGGGCTGGTATTTTGCAAATAATCTTCAGATGCACCCCTCAAAATCCAGGGGGATCTCTAGCCTCCTCTCTTGACATTAATTTCTTTCATTAGTTTCCCCGGTCCTGGCCTTCCCAAAGAGCAGGTGATGTGGCCAGAGACCCAAGGAATTGAAGGGGACAGTGAGGGCGGGCTGGGCGGGCTGACCAGGCTGCAGCGGCGGGTGAATTTCAGGCGCGGCCTCCTTGCTCCTCACCTGCGGCCGTGGCCGGGCTCGCCTAACAGCGTACTTTCCCGTGGTAGCAGCAGGCCATTCCGGAAGGCGTGATGGCAAAACACATTAAGAGAGTTATATCAGCCCTGGCTGGCGTAGCTCAGTGGATTGAGCGCGGGCTGCGAACCGAAGTGTCACAGGTTCAATTCACAGTCAGGGCACATGCCTGGGTTGCAGGCGACGGCCCCCAGCAACTGCACATTGATGTTTCTCTCTCTCTCTCTCTTTCTCCCTCCCTTCCCTCTCTAAAAATAAATAAAATCTTTTAAAAAAAAAGAAAGAAAGTTATATCGCACAAAGCTTTCCAACGCTGACTTGAAGTTGTTTCTTTGGTAGAAAGCAAAAACAAAACACAATGACAAGCAACTTCCTTAAATTACTCCTTCAAGTTCCTGACACCTCTCTGCAGACCCTAGGGTGCAGCTTTGAGAGAAACCAGCTTCCCTACCGCTGTGTAACAAATCACCCCCCCTAAACTCAGTGGCTTAAAGCTACGTCACCATTGGTAACCTCCTACAGCTCCTGTGGGTAAGAGGCTAGGATTCTGGGTGATTCTGGCTTGGGGTTTCTCAAGAGGTGACAGTCAGGTGTCAGCGGGACCCAGAGGACCCAGAGTCTGCAGGGCGGCAGGCAGTGCTGGCTGCCGGGAGAGCTGTGGGGGGGGCCCTGCTGGCCAGGGATGGAGACTCCCCATAACTCTAGCTTTAGGCCCCCTGGGTGCTGTCCCAGCATCTGTGCCAAACTAACGGGCAGACAAGAACGGCTTCTCAAATACATACGTTATGCTGTTCTAATCAAATGTGCAGGATGTATTTATAAGTCAATCCAAAAAGCGGCAAGATGAGACTGCAAACAAGACTCTGAATGCACAAGACTACCGAGTGAGGATGACAGTCTGTGGGAGAAGTGCAACAGAACCAGAAGTCGAAAGAGAAAAAGGAATGTGAAGTTCCTGACTGTTAGAGAAGAGCTTGTTTTAATTAATTAATTGATTGATTTTTAGAGGGAAGGGAGGGAGGCAGAGAGGGAGGGAAACATTGATGTGCAAGAGAAACATCACTCAGTTGCCTCTTGCACGCCCACAACTGGGAACCCAGCCCGCACCCCAGGCATGTGCCCTGACTGGGAATCGAACCGGTGACCTTTTGGTTTGCAGGCCAGCGCTAAGTCCACTGAGCTACTTTAACCAGGGCAGGAACTTGTTCACTGATGTTTCAAATGGATAATGATGAGTTCAAATCACTGTGCTACTGACACCAATGAAGAGTGAGGAAATAGGTTTATTTTAAAATACAGATTATTTGCAATATGCCATAACAAATTCCTCTGCTACTATTTAAATTCCTAATAAAAAATTTTAGATGCCCATTTAAAATATTTTAGGGGGAATACAGTTTTTCTAAAAGCTCTCAGGGGTATTGTGATTTAAAAAATCCTAAAATGCAGGCGGGATCTCTGGCTTTCTTGCACCCCCCACCTGCCCCTCCACCCTCTCTCCCCCCCATGGGATTACCCATGTGAAGTGCATGGTGGACAGTCAAGTGTGCTGTGGGCTGTTTGGGGTCTGCACAGTTCCCCAGTTCCAGCAAACTTCTTGATGGTCTTCACCAGCAGCCTGGCCGGCTGGACGGTGCTCAGTGCCCTGCGGTGCCTGCCATGGTGGCCTTCACACGCCTGGAGGTGATGGAAACGCCATCTGTCCTTCTGGGGAGGAAGGCCTAGGAGCTATTCTGAGTGAGGGAAGATGGTTTCACCGAAACTTTACGTAACGTATATAATGTTGGCAAAGGTTCTGGAGGAGAATTCTGTTGGACAGTTTTCTCATAACAAGGATGTATGGCAAAATGACATTTTCCAACATAAAGATGGAAGGTATCTGATGGTTTCAGAGAACCTGAAGCCTTGAGCTTGAAGTCTGTCACAGTTATTTTACAGGGTTTTTTTAATATAAAACAATTAATCATCTATCTCCTTAGATCTGGTGCACACTCACGGCTCCCCTTCCAGAGAAAACATCCAATTAATACACGTCTGATCTTTGGCAAGGTACCTTATTTCTCTAAGCGTGAAAATCCTCAGCTACTGAGGATTTCTGAAAAACCACACGTCTGGACGTAGCTCTGAAGGGCGCCGGGGGCACATCAGGAACGCGAGGGGACTGGGAAGGTGACCTGGGCGAGGGAGCACGAGGCGGCCCACAGCGGTGCCAGGCGTGAGCTCCCGCCTGCATCCTGGTCCGGCTCCTCTCCCGGTCCGACAGCTGCTGAGCGCCGGCCCCGTGCGGCGGGGAGGAGGAGGCACAGCCCAGGCTCTGCGGCCTGAGCCGTCGGACACAGCCTCCCAGCTCCGGGCGCTCGGCCAGCCTGCGGTTTCCGGGAAGTCGTCTTGCTTTCTCCAAGCTCACGTGAAGAGTGGCGAGGAGGTGGCCAGACAGAAAATGTGGGGGAGCATTTCAGGCTGGGGGAGAGCCCCAGTGAGAATGCCCGGAGGTGAGAGAGAACCTGGCGCCTCTGAGCGGCTGGAGGTTACCCCACGAAGCAGCTGAAGGCCAGGGAAAGGCAGAGGTGCCTACAGGTGGGGCTGGGAACAAGCAGGGGCCAGATCACACGAGGCCCGTGAACCGCAGTGTCGGGCTTGTGACTCGTCCTCAAAGCAGTGGCGAGCCATGCAAGGGCTGTATGTCAAGCACAAGGTCAGGTTTGTGTTTCGGGAGCATCAGACCAAGTGTGGGAAACGGGTGAAGAAGGCAGGACCAGAGTCTGGGGGGCTAAGTTGGCGGCCGGTACAGTAATTTATGCACAGGGGGGCGGTGGCCTGAGTGGTGGTCGTGGCAGTGGACTGGAGCGAGCAGATGGATGGGGGGTTTGGTAGGCGGCCCCCACCGGACCTGGTGCTGCAGGAGGCGGGGTGTGGGTGGTGACAAGGGGGTCGAGAATGACACCCAGCTTACGGCCCCATGCTCCTGTTCGCAGAGGCAGCCTCAGGGAGGACACACTGGGGGGAAGACAGTGAGAGCAAACCCAGGATGCCATCCCAAGGGACGCCTGGGGACACCCAGAGTCTGGAGGGGCCAGGGGGTGGGGGGGTGACACATCTGTGGGGGGATCAGCACACGCTGGTGACCTAAACCACGGGCGTGGAGGACCAGGGAGAGCGCACAGAGAGAGACACTTCCTGGGACAGAAGCCCGTGGAACTCTGACACTCGGGGGGGTCACCGAGGGAAAGGGGTCCCGCCAGGGGCTGAATAGGAGCGGCCAGACTGGCAGAGACCCCCAGAGAGCGGGAAGTCACCCCAGTGAAGAGAAAGAGCATTTCAAAGTCACGCAAGTCCCAGGGAAAGATTCTCAAGGAGATAAATGATATCAGATGATAAAAAAAAGTCAAACAAGAGACTGAATTATCGCTTTAAGAAGGAGGTACAATAAGTCCATCTAGATTCCCCCACACACACACACACACTCAGACTCTGAGACCCACAGGGCCTGCCGTCGTGCTCCCTTCTCTCCTCACCGGCCCTCTGAGGGGTGCCAGAGCTCCCCATGGCACCCTCACACACCCCCACACACGCACCCCAACGCAGCGAGGGAGAGAAAACAGGCCCGGTGCAACTCCGAGCTCTGTGGCCAAGGCCAGACCCCCCTCACCGGGACCCCGAGTCCACCTGTTGTTCCCAAAGGAACTTAAAAGGATCATTTTACATGTATATTCTAGAGATGAAATGCTACTGTGACCCAATGACATCATACAGTTTAACTCTGGTCTCCTACAGGTCACCTCTGACAGTTTGAGAAGGGAGATCGTGCGTGGCCCGGGCACCGTAACATCTCAGCATTTGCACTGGTGGCTTCGGCTTTAGGCAGCGCCCCCCGGGGCAGAGAACAGAAGAACAGTAAGCACAGCCAAATTTCCTGGCTATGGCTAAGTGACCAGACATCGTTTGTTAAGGAAAAATGCAGCCCGAAAGGTTTATTTACTGCAAAGACAATGACTGACCTATTTCACAGTCCAAGTATAACTCAGAAATGCAAATGTGGGAAAAGGTCTGCCTGGTTAAGAGTTGCAGTGTATAAAAATTTTACATTTTATTTTTTTCACACCTTTAAAACATATGGTTTAGTTAAAAGAAATAGAATTATTTAGATAGCACAAGAATGTCAGATGGTATGACTCACATCCTACCTAAATTTCCTCTAACGGATGAGTAATCTAACTTTATCCGCCCCACAATTGGATACAGTTACGGGCTTGAAATAGGAGTTGCTAGTTGTGTGGTTCCAGTGCTTCTGGAGTACAATGGAACCATCCCATTATTTCAGTAAGAAACGGGCCTGGCCGGGTGGCTGGGCTGGTGCAGTGCTGTCCAGACGCGCCCAGGTGCCGGGCTCCGGCCCGAGTCAGGGCACACGCGAGACTCAACCAGTGGATGCACAAACAAGCGGAACAACAAATCGATGTTTCTCTCCATTTCTCTCCC